AATATACAGCCTACTCCAAACAAGTGTATAAGGAAACAGACCTAGAATCCTGTCTTAAAGAGCAGCATCCAATCGCTCAGTGTTGGCTTTATCATCCTTATTATGAGGTCAAACAGCAAGGCTCGGTGGTATTATTAATGATAGGAACTTAAGAAATCAGATGCATTTACAGACTTTTCAGATTTGATTATATTTGAGTTATTAATATGCTAAGAAAAATTACAATATTACCTTAAAAATGCAGACTAACATTAATGTAAGGAGCTGTAAAGACGACAATGGAGCCCTGGTAGGACCCTGGTGAAAGTGGCTGGCTGCTGACCAAAATGTCAAGCGTTTGAAGCCACCAGTCCATCTGAGGAGACAGATGTGGCAGTCTGCTGCTGCAGATTAGAGCTTGGAGACTCAACGGGGGCAATTCTACTCGGCCCTACAGGGTTGGCTACGAGCCGAAATGGGCTCAATTACTGTTACCTTAAAAAAGAACTCAATTGTCCTAAGAAGGAAAAGGAAACAAATGCTAGTGATACACAAGTCTAATGAGTGACTACTTATAAATTTAGTATTAGTAAGCAAGACTCTCAAAATGATTATCTTATTTCACTAGTATCTATCTATTAGGCACTACAAGTTAATCAGACTCTGCTGGAGACATGCTGCTATTTTTCTCATGTAACAAACACGCAAAGCACTCACAGGAAGCCCACGTGGGAGGGAGGCTTGATGGTTTGCAAAATATCTGCATTATGCAGGTTATTTATGTAAAAACATGGTCATCTGGTTTGTAGCCTACATTTTGTAAATAATACATTAAAGAGCCACAACAAAGAAAATCCTTATGGGGAAAAGACAACATACATCCAAAACCCTAATTACTGAGCTTGAACAAACCACTGAGTGAGGAACAAAGGCAAAGGAATAGGAACAGTCATGAAAATTAGAATGACCGTTACAATGACCACAGGTCATATATTTGTTCTTATTCATCCATCAGCTTTATGTTATGCTGGGAGGAGCCCTGGTGGTACAGTGGCTACGTGTTGGGCTGCTAACCACAAGGTCAGCAGTTCGAAACCACAAGCTGTTCCACTCAGGACAAAGATGGGACTTTATATTCCCATGAAAAGTTAGTCTCGGAAACCCATGGGGCAGTTCTACTCTGTTCTAGTCACTATGGGTCGGAATCAACTCAAGGGCCGAGTGCTTGGTTGTTTGGTTTTGGTTATTATAAGCCTAAGAGCACTGGTGGCACAGTGGGTTACACACTGGGCAGCTAACCACAAGTTCAGTGGTTCAAACCCTCAAGTTACTCCATGATAAAGATGAAGCTTTCTGCTCCCATAAATATTTATAGTGTTAAACACCCAAGGGGTGCAGTATGGGGTGTGTGTGGGTGTGTGTGTCTGTGTGTGTGAGAGAGAGAGAAAAACCGAGTTCAAATGGCAGCACACATGAAAAATGGCAAAAAATTATATAAACTTTCAGCCTGGTAGCTTAAGAAAAGATGTTTCTAGGGATGGGAAGTTACATTAAAAAGAGGTTTTTGAGGTTTATTTACTCTAAGCTCTATAGTAAGTTACAATTAACACCAAAAGTAAAATGAAAAATGTTCCATGGAGTAAGAGTCGTGATGCAGGTGAGCATTTTAACTTGTAAATAAATATGGGGGTAGGGAGAGGAGACAACTGTACTAAGTGGCCCATGTTTCCTTGAGAAAGGCGAAAGGAAGAGCTACCTGAATCCACGGCTCAGCTAAGTCTTTGTAAGCAGGAGGGATCTGCTGAGTTCCATAGTGAGTCAGGTTGAAATTGCTCTCTTGGTTCCTCCGTTGTGACCCAGCGACAGGTGGCTGCTGCAAGGTTGGCTGCTGTGCAGCTCGGAGAGAAGAAGGGGAATCCACAGGGCTTGACAACTCGTGGCTAAAATAAAACCAACCAACCAAATTTGCCAAGAAAATCAACACGTTGAAATAACACTGAGACCTTTTAATCTTTTGTTAAACACATATATAAATCATTAATTTAAAATTAAAAGTGTGTGAAGGGAGACGTTGGACAGTGTAAGACATGACAAAATAATAATGACTTGCAAATTATCCAGGGTTCATGAGGGAGGGGGAGCGGGGTGGGAGGGGTAAAACGAGGAGCTGATGCCGGGCTCAAGTGAAAAGCAGATGTTTTGAGAATGATGATGGCGACAGATGTGCAGATGTGCTCAACACAATGGATGTATGTATGTATGGATTGTGATGAGTGTTGTACAAGCCCCCAATAAAATGATTAAAAATAAATAAA